CCCAGGACCCCCGGCCCGCATCTGTATGGCAGATGTATGTCTCCATCTGGCAGGCGACCCTGGGGACCTGGCAGAAATTTTGCCCCCAGCCTGGCTCTGGAATCGACCTCCAGGCATCCTGTGAACCTGAGGCCTCCTCCTCTCACGCCCAAGAAGGCCCCCAGGCCTGTGGTGCTGTGGCCCTGGCCCTGCAACTGGGACTCCAGGAAGCGGCCCGAGGCCCACCGTACTGGTTAGCAGCTCCCAAGGGCAGGTCTGTCTGAGCCTCATCCCTGGGAATGATCTGGGTTAGACGAGAATGGGAAGAGGCCCACAGCACTGTGTTTTGTGATATTCTTGTAAGAGCGTATTGATGAGTGTAGATTTTATAGTAAAGAGCCAGTCGTTCTAGAAAGCAACGATTTGCCTCAGCAGAACCTCCAGGCTCTCGTTTCAGAGGTGAGGACGTGCCCATGGTGCTGTGTCTGTGTCCAGCAGGTTCCGCTCGGCCCCGACAGTGCTGCCCGCCAGGTGTCCTTCCCGCACGCTCACTGTGGTCAGCCCTGCTCCGCGCCGCCCTCCGTCCTCTCAAGGTGCGTCCCTGGCAGCCGGAGATGCACATGAGATATTGGCCTGGCCGGGCAATTTGCACGGCCTTCCAGGGAGGGCATTAGCATATAAATAGCAGATGCGATGAGGACCATCACAGCTGAGCACGTTTAATTTTTAGTTTATAAGATAGAATGGGTTTTTAAACGCATAGCCATCAAGGCGCTGAAAGACAAATGTAGTTTGGAACTCACTTGTCTGACGAGGCCTTACATCATTTTTTTTTTTTTAAAAAGGGAAACACACACACATAAAACTGAACAAAAGTAATTTCTTGGGTGAAAAGTAATTGAGACCGCATACCAAGTTAATTAGATCGTACAAAATTTATTTAATGGCCCCAGCTGTATCTCCCAGCCTGCGTGTGGTGGACGGACCTGCCCCTTCACCCGGGCCTCTCCTCTTCCTTTCCTTCTCAAATAATTAGTAACCTCGCCACCCTACTGCTGTGAACTGATTGCATTGTATATTTTAGCCGTTTTATTGCTTGTTTAATTATGATCGTGGAGGCTCATTTTTCTAAATCCTTTTAAGTGTGGGTGAGAATCCATTTGTATGAAGCCAGCAGAGGCCCCAAGTGCTCCTGCCCGCCTCCCCGTGGTGGCCGGGGCTCCTTTGGAGGCAGCCTGTGCGTGGGCGGTCTTGGCTCTCCGTGTCGAGGGTCTGTAGCTCCCATAGCTGCTGCACTGCAGCACTGCGGACCAGCCTCGGGAGGCTTCCAGTGCCTCGCAGGGGACTTGGCCTGTTAGGGAAGGTGTGGGCACAGGTCACAGTCCCCTTGGGAGGGGCAGCCTGTGGGTGACCTGTGCCTCCCACACCCCTGCTTTATCACAGGAGGCTCAGCTTCCAGGTCGGGGTCAAAGCAGATTGCTCTGAGAACCTTTTCCAAACCTAACCTCATTTTGTAGACATTTCCGGTCCCAGCGCCGCCATAGGGTGTGTGATCTCCTTTCCAGGATTCTTGCTCGTCCAGAGCCCCCCAGCGCCAGTGCCCAGCCCCTCGGCAGGGCCTGCAGACACATGGTGCTGGCCCCCGGCTCGTCTGTCGCTGACCTTGAGGGCGGGTGGCTCTTGCCTGTCACCACTTGATGATTTGACTTCTTAGAGGTGAACTGGAGGCATGTGGGACCACGTGGAAGGGGTGCTTCATGTGGGGTCTCACCCTCCCTTTGGGCTCCGTGCGCTTTGAGGCTTCGGGGAGCTCAGTCCCCAGTGACCACGCTGTTCCTGTCCTCCGAACAGGCCCCTGAACAGCCACACAGCGTCCTGGGCTCCCAGCTTGCCCACCGTCAGCACCCCCGCCTGTCCCTGACTTTCAGTGTGCCCAGCACCGGGTGTCCGAGGTGACCGCACTGTGCGTCTGTGGGTTTCAGACATGAGAATTTATCCCGTGTGAATTGAAACCTGAAAACAGCAGCTTTCAGCCTTCCGTTTAGTATTAACAGTAAAGTCCCTAAATCCTGAGTTGCTGTGGTTTGAGGGGCTACCACAGCCTCTAAATAGTTTCAAGCTGAAATATGGAGATGGTGGCTGTGGTGGGCTCTTGCCTGGGAGAAAGCCCTGGGGCTTCCTTGGAGGTGAAGGGAAATCCACCCACGGGCCTGGCTGGTGTTAGAGGGAGCCGCTTACCAGGACCAGGGTGGCCTCATCAGCGCTAATTTAAGAACAAAGGGGAACCCAGGGCTTCTAATTTAATCACAGAAATGAACCATTATTTGGGGAGAAAGAAGGTATAATTCCTAATAGTTAGCTTAGCGGTTGAATATTTTTTAGGAAATGAAAATTTGATAAAAGTCCCCGATGAAATTCAAGGGTGCGAGCAATAAGCATAATATTTTTTGAAAATGACCCCCATATTTAAAATCTGGCACTATATGTTATGCATTGTAGCACCCGGTCCACATCTACCTTTTAGAAAATTAAAACACATAAATTCTGTTTAGTGTGTGATCCGCGCTGCACTGGCTGAGAACCGTAATGCCCTGAAACCTTGGGCTGCTCTCCACCTTTCATAAATTCCTGGCAGATTCTGTACAGAAATAATTTTCAGGTCCGTGGCTTGTTGTTATTCAGACGTGATGGATCGCCATCATTTGCTCAGCGCGGGAGTTAAGTGCCCCCGTCATTTCCAAAGAGTATAATTGGGACGTTTCACAGGTCAGCGGTGGAGACAGGCTTCCCTTTTGATCAGTGTTAGACTGATAACAAAAATTACAGTTTCCAGTGATTAATGTCTGCTGCTTCCCAGATGCCTGGCAGTGGCTGCTCCCAAACAAAGTGCACTTGGTCTGACGATCGGGTGCCGGGGCCACCTGCCGGCAGGGTGCTGGTGCCCGGGCCCCGCGGCCTTGTGTGGCCCGGCTCTGTGGGAGCCACCTCCCGGCAGGGTGCTGGTGCCCGGGCCCTGCGGCCTTGTGTCGCCTGGCTCTGTGGGAGCCACCTCCTGGCAGGGTGCTGGTGCCCGGGCCCCGCGGCCTTGTGTGGCCTGGCTCTATGGGGGCTGGATGTGGAGCCACGGTCTCCTGCTCACCCAGGCTTCGTCTCTGGTGAACATGTGGACTCCTGCCCTGGGGGTCAGGGGTCAGGCCCCTCTTCAGTTGTCCTTCCTCCCTTCAGGAAACAAAGCTGCGATTGCAGGCGCCTTTGAGGTGTTGATGCTGGGAATGCTTTTTAGAGATGAAGGTGTGTGTCGGAGTGATTCTGGTTTTCGGTTTTTCTCTTATAAACCAGTTAACGGTCCCCTTGCTTGGCATTCCTCTGATAGGAATCTCCCTTCCGGGAAGTTTCCCTCCGCTGTAGTGCTGTGGGAACAGGAACGCAGGCGCCTCCACCCCGGGCACCTCCACCCCGGGGCACCCCCACCCCGGGCACCTCCACCCCGGGCACCTCCACCCCGGGGCACCTCCACCCCGGGCACCCCCACCCCGGGCACCTCCATGCAGGCGCCTCCACCCCGGGCACCTCCACCCCGGGGCACCTCCACCCCGGGAACCCCCACCCCGGGCACCTCCACCCCGGGGCACCTCCACCCCGGGCACCCCCACCCCGGGCACCTCCACGCAGGCGCCTCCACCCCGGGCACCTCCACCCCGGGCACCTCCACCCCGGGCACCCCCACCCTGGGCACCTCCACCCCGGGCACCTCCACGCAGGTGCCTCCACCCCGGGCACCCCCACCCCGGGCACCTCCACCCCAGGGCACCTCCACCCCGGGCACCCCCACCCCGGGCACCTCCACCCCGGGCACCTCCACGCAGGCGCCTCCACCCCGGGCACCTCCACCCCGGGGCACCTCCACCCCGGGCACCTCCACCCTGGGGCATCTCTACCCTAGCCACCCCAGGGCACCTCCATCCTGGCCACCCTGGGGGCATGACCTTCAGCTGCCCTAGCAGCCCTGCCAGCCCCTCTCCTGGCCTGAGGGAGCTGAAGGTGAAGGTGAGGAATGACCACCCTGCTGTGCTGAGCCCACACCAGGTTTGTGGTGGGTGAGCTGCAGAGGCGGGGCTCTCAGGGAAGGATGGTGTGCCCTGGGGGCTATGTGTGAGCTCCCACACCCTGTCCTGGGCCGTGGTGGGGCTGTTGGAAGGATGCAGGCCAGTGGGAAGGTGAGGCGGAGAACAGTTTGCCCATGGCTGCATCTGAGCACATGGATGGAGCAGGCGGTGCCCACCGTGTGGCCATGTTACTAAGCAGTGGGCTTGCTACCGAGTGCACACAGAAGCCAGTACTACAGCAGCAGCTTTTGGGAAGAGAAAGGCTTTTTCAGGGCAGGCAGCCTTTTTCTCATGGGAGGAGGGAGGCGGGGGTGGCCTGAGGGCTCTCCAGACTCAGTGAGGGATCCCCTACACCTACCCTGGCAGAGAAGTGACCTTGTCAAAAGGAAATTGAGGTGGTTTTCATGCAAGCTCTCAAGGACAGAATGTTCCAGAAGTACTTGTCCCTTTCGGTCATCTGACATGTTGTTGTCACACCAGCGCCACGGGAGAACCCTGTACGGGGAGCTAGCCCTGGCCGTTGCCTAAGAGCAGATGCACCTGCTCCACCTGGTGGGAAGATGACTCCCCTAAGCCACGGGGGCGCGGCAGCCCTCGAACCAGTGTGACGCCATTGCACATGAGGACCTCACCTCCCACAGGGACCTGGGGAGTCAGCCAGGGTTGTAGTTCGTGGTTTTGACGTAGACTCTAAACAGCCCCCAGCGCAGGGGCAGTGTGGAGGTGGTGTGATGTTGGGGAAGGAGAGCAGCCTTGGAGACAACCCTAACTGCAGTCCAGCTGTGGCTGGTGCTGGAGCCCTGAGCGGGAGAAAAAGTTCCACAACAAAAAGGCATTTCCAGGGCTCTGCCCACTGAGAGCTGTGTTCATACACAGGGTCTGGGGGTTGATCTGTGCTGGGGCGTCTTTCCACAGACGGAAGCCCTGGGGGATGCGGAGGAAGATGAGGATGATGAGGACTTTGTGGAGGTCCCTGAGAAGGAGGGGTATGAGCCCCACATCCCCGACCACCTGCGCTCTGAGTATGGTGAGTAGCGGGCCCTGTCGGAGGGTGCCTGGGTGGAGGGTCCCCCACTCAGGATGTGGCCCCTTGGGATCCGTCTTGTGGTAACTGCTGCTTTGGTTTAAAATGCTGCTTTTCCTGCCCATGATCGTAGCCATGAGGCTGAGAAGTCGTGTGCATGCTTTTCCTCTGTGCTCTGGCTCCATCTCGGGGTCTCGTGCCTAGGGTCCTCCCTGCAGCCTGCCCCGAGGTGTGCTCCTTCTCCGGTGGTCCTGCTGGTCCTCCTCTGCCAGGCAGGCCCTCAGGTGCCCAAGTCTGGGGCAGGGGCCATCCTACTCTTGGTTCTTGTGTGTGGAGGCCCCAGCACACTGGCCTGCTGTAAGGATGCAGCGGGGCAGGTCCTGACCTCCCTCTGCCATCAGCAACCCTGCTCAGGGACAGAAAGGCCTCACGCACGAGGGTGGGCTCTGGTGGGCTCCTTGAACTTGAGGGTTGTGTGTGTGATTCCCGCAGCTACAGGAGCCGCTGCTGGCAGGTGGGAGGGGCCGCCACCCCACACCCTCCAGGCTCCCCTCCCTGCTTAGTCACAGGCATCCCTCCTCACCACTGGTGATGCCACAGACTCGGGTCTGGGCCCAGGGCTGCTGTGCCCTCCACAGCAGGGAGCTCCTGTCATTCTCAGGGAGCACTCGGGAGGTGCTGAGTGCTGCCACAGCCTGTGCTGTGCCATCGAGGGCTTAGGTTTTTCAAAAATACCTCCCAAAGCCACGTTCCCATGCCACACCCAGGATTTTGGCCCTCAAGGAGGGGCGTGGGCCCAGGTGGGTCTACTCTTCAAGTTCCCCAGAGTGCCCACAGTGGTGTTTGCGTGGAGGGGAAGCAAATGAAAACAAGACCCTCAGCTTTTGTGTGAAATGGGCAAGTTGGTTTGAATCAGAGTATAAGAAGAGATGTAAATTTGTTAAGAGAATTTAGATGATTAGACAACTCATGTGTGAAGTTATGACCCATTAAGGGTGTCATGCCAGATTAGCACAACCAGGCTTCTAACGATCTTCCATTTGTATGGTCCTGTTTACTGGGGTCCTGCTGTCTTCTGACCCGGGGCCACCCAGTGAGGGCCCAGGCTGTGAAGGCTGAGCTCCTGGGGTCAGTGTGAGCTTGAGGGTCTGGAAGAAAGCCTCAGATGCCTGGGGCCATCTGGGACCTCTCTCTGGGCACCATTGTGGCCTGGCCCATTCCGGACCAGGGTCCCGTGCTGCTTCTCCAGGGGTTCTGGCCAGGCAGGCAGAAGCCGAGGGACCTACACGCCTCTCCCCACTACCGACCTCACCGCGTCAGACCCCGTCCCCCGCCGGGCCCCAGCCCCAGCTGTGCCCTCCCCGCACCCACCTCACCGCGTCAGACCCCGTCCCCCGCCGGGCCCCAGCCCCAGCTGTGCCCTCCCCGCACCCACCTCACCGCGTCAGACCCCGTCCCCCGCCGGGCCCCAGCCCCAGCTGTGCCCTCCCCGCACCCACCTCACTGTGTCAGACCCCGTCCCCCGCCGGGCCCCAGCCCCAGCTGTGCCCTCCCCGCACCCACCTCACTGTGTCAGACCCCGTCCCCCGCCGGGCCCCAGCCCCAGCTGTGCCCTCCCCGCACCCACCTCACTGTGTCAGACCCCGTCCCCCGCTGGGCCGCAGCCCCAGCTGTGCCCTCCCCGCACCCACCTCACTGTGTCAGACCCCGTCCCCTGCCGGCCCCAGCCCCAGCTGTGCCCTCATTGGGCTTCCCCCGTCCCCACCTCACACACTCTGTTCTTCCAACTCCAGCGTCCACCTGAAATGGCCTTTCTGCTGATTCCCCACCTTGGGCAGGAGTCCCCATGCCTGACATGAGGGCCCTAGGGGTGCCTGAGCACGCTGTTGGCCGCTGCAATCTCTTTCCTGGCTCTTGGCTGCCCTCAGGTGGACCAGGCTGTGGGTCCAGCCCCATGAGCACCAGTCGAAGCACAGAGGTGTCTCCTGGAGATTCTGCAGCCGGGGCCTAGGCAGCCATCTTGTCTGCATAGGCCCACCCTGACCCGGCCTGCTGGGCTGCCTCATCTCCTGGATCCCTTCTGGGCGTCTTCAGAGTCTGGGAGCTGGCACTGACTCTTGGCCTATAGTGTCACTGACATTTCCTGGCCCTGGGTCTCTGCACGGACCTGTTACGATGGCTTCTGAGCCCTTTGAGCGGAAGTTACATGTCTTAGACAGACGGGGTGATGTGTGGCGTCTCAAAGGCAGAAATCCCCACTTCCCCTAAAACCTGACTTGTGGCTCTAAATTATCCAAAGCAAGGCCAGAAGCGAAACTCAAACGAGGTGACTCTCCCCAAAGAACAGAGCGGTCTCCTTTCATCAGAAGAGGTGAGGCTCCCTCCGGCCTGTGGCCAAACACAATGGTGGCGGCGCTCACTCGTCACTAGGCCTGGCCGTCCCCTCCCCACTGGAGCCCAGGGGTCCTGAGTCCATCCACAACAGCGTCCAGCCAAAGGGACCGAGCTGCACAGGCCTCGCAGCCTCTGCTGGGTGTGCCGGGACACCTGCTCTGACACAGCCCTGCTGCAGGTACACCTAGCCTCACAGGGTCACACGTAGGCACTGGGCGTGGCAGTCCTGACTAAGCCCCACCGGTGGGCTGTCCCAGCCTGACCCTGGTTGTGAAGGCACCTCCAGATGTGTGTCTCCAGCTCAGGCCCCAGGCTCAGCAGAGCAGAGATGAGCTGTCCCTGCTGGGTCAGTCCCGGTCCAGGGAAGTGTGCACAGCTGGGGCACTGGCCGCCGGTTCTTGTCATTGCAGCTGCAGGTCCCCACAGCGCCCTCCTCTGCTGGCTCCGAGCCTCCTCCACTGCATGGCATCTGCCCCTTTGCTCTCAGGGCCCACGCATGCCCGGCGGAGGGGAGGGTGCCTTAGAAGCTGGGGGCTCCATCACAGCCTCGCCTGGGGCAGGCAGAGGCCCTGGTAGTTTTATTGCCACTGATTGACTTCTTGAAGTGGGAAGGCTGACCACCTTCTGCCTTCAGCCTTGAAGGTGCCGACGGCCCCTGTAGGCCTGGCCTGGGTGTCCTCGGCGGCACTGCTGGGAGTCGCCTGGGTGCAAGTGTGCGGCACCAGCTGTACCAGCCCCAGGCGAGGGCTGGAGGGCCCAAAGGAGGGGCAGGCCCTGGTGACAGAGCTGCCCTCTGGGGTGTGCAGAGGGGATCCCCCGGCCCCACTCAGCTTCACACCCCAGGGGCCCTAAGAGTGCCGGAGACAGGAACCAGACGGGAACCGTGGGGGCAGACGCGGGGCCAGCTCAGTCCATAACACGAGTTTATATTCTGTCGCTGTTTTTTCAATTAAACGTGGGCGAATCTGAAGTAGTTAGATTTAGTCTAAATCCACACCATGGAGGAAACCCGTGCTCTTTTGCTTGCTCATTTCTTTCTCTGAATTTTCACTGAGGGGCCTTTATCTTCCCCTTAATCCTACCATTTCTGTCAGGACATAATCTCTTTCTCAAATTTACATTTTAATTACAAGGCCAGCTGAACTAGGTAAAATCAATAATGTCAGCGCTGGGCAGCCCGCCTGGGCGCAGAGGCCCCCGCCTCTCCGTTTCCTGCCATCGATTCCCTCCCGCACTGTCTGCTTTGGTGCTTCAGGCAAATAGGTGCCACTTGGCCAATTTAAACAAAAAAGGGGATTTGGACATTTTTATGATTCTTTCTAAAAACAACTGTGGGAGTGAATTTGAGCCAAGATGCTGGACTCAGTGAGACGCCGTGCGGGCGGGGCAGGCCGGGTTCGGCTGTGACGTGTGGCCTCTTGTTTTCCAGGAGTCATTATTCTTCCTGAAAATGCGTGCTCTCGGTGCCTGAGGAATGCTGTCTGCTTTTTGGGGTTTTGCTTTGAAAGTATGTCAGTGAGATTGATTTTCCACGCGATGCGCAAGTGGGAGTGTTTTTAGTGCCCTAAGTATTTACCCTGCTGTAACACGCTTACCCATCTTTTTAATGGTTTAAAACAACAAATCGATGAAAAATATATTTCATTCTTGTAACTCTTAGGAATTCTCATATTGATCTTTTGGCTGTGATTGTATCTAAATGTCACATTGTTCACTTATCAGTCTTGCCTGCCTCACTGTGAGCATGCACGTGTGTGTGTGCGCGCGCGTGTGCGTGTGTGTGCGTGCGTGCGTGTGTGCGTGCGCGTGTGTGTGTGCGTGCGTGTGTGTACGTGTGCGTGCCTGTATGTGCACGCATGTGCTGACAGCCCGTATCTGTGTCATGTGTATTTCCAGAATACTGAGGGGCACTTGGCAGGTCTGTGAGTAAAACCCAGGACACGGCATTGAGTGCCAGGGCTGAGCAGGGGCTGCCCAGTGTCTCCTGGATGCACGCCTCGGGGCTGGAGGTCCGGCCCTGTCACCTGCTCTGTGGTGGCTCTGTCTCACGTCCTCTGCTCTCAGCCCCTGGGAACCCAGGAAATGGGAGCAGCCCCACAGGCATGCAGCCGTGAGCAGGTGTGGAGCCGTGAGCAGGCATGCAGCCGTGAGCAGTTGTGCAGCTGTGCACGGCTCAAAAGAGCTCCTGAGTGGGACAGGCACCTTCTGTGAAGGGCCAGAGCTCAGTCTCTTCGGCTTCAGGGGCCACACGAGGCCTTGTCTCTGCATGTAGATGATGGGTGCGACTGTGTGCCAGTAACACCCTATTCACGAAAGTAGGCAGTGGGCTGGACTTGGCCCACAGCCACAGGCTGGCGAGCCCTGAGCACAGGGTGTGGCGTTTCTGCATGTGCCAGACTGACCTCTGCCCAGAGAGCTGGTAGCCAAGTCAGAGGTGGCTCCAGACTGCCCAAGTTCTGTGAGCCCTTTCAGAGAAGCAGTTTTTCCCTCCTTGGTTTCCAGGATGCTTGTCAAGGGCCTCAGCAAGGCCCTTTGTCCTTACCCACTTCCCTCCCAGGGAGCCCCTGCACAGGCAGCCTTGCAGTACCCCCACTTCTCACGCCTCCTCA